ACCAGATGCAGTACACCACCACCATCAACTGATAGAATATGAGGTTTATACAGGTCACTTATAACTTACAAGGGACCAAATGGCAATTAACAAACATACCAATCACCTTACACTTCATTGTCATTATGCTCTCAAAGACAACCAAGACTGAGGGAAGGCAAAATCAGTAGGAAAATAACTTCACTACAAAATAATCCATTATGGTAAAGAGTTTATCAAATGAATGAGTAGCACTGCAAAGGTGACTTGAAGAAAGGATGTATGCACATCATGTATTATTTTGAATTTACCCCCTATGTAGGCACTTGTGTCTTGCGGGGTTATTGACTCAGAGGATGTCCCCGCAGAGATGCCTTCAGCCACAGGGCGCCCACTGTTTTGGCTGAGGGCCAACTGCTCAGCCTCTGTGAGTGGTGGTGGTGGAGGACCCCCACCTGTTTTTCGGGCCTCCGCTTTTTTTCTGTTGGCTATAACGGGTCACATTTGAGCATACAGAGTAAGCAAATATGTACTTGTAATGTGCTCAGATAATTTCAATAAGTGCTTACAGAAAGGAAATTAATGTAGCCTCTAACTGCAATTGATTTACATCGGACAAACAGACCAAGCACTATGGCTCATAATACAATTACACCTCACCTGTTTGGACTATATTTTTATATTTCATTTTTACTTGCTGCCAGGAACGTTTGGGGCCTGTTGGGTTGCACCTGCGCTCACATCACATCACAAAATGAAAATGTATAAAATAACAAATAAAATAACATATGATAAAATAACGTGTTAAATGGGTGGAAATCCCTAGATCAATGTTTATATTAACACTCACGCATTGACTCTGTCGGCTATGTTTTGCCATGCATGCTCCCTTTCTTTCGCAGCTGTGGCTGTGTTACTTTTTTCCGCGGAATTTGCATGTTATCGGCATATGCTGCCATCAGAATTTCGGCCTCAAGCGCTGTAAAATACATTGACCGCGCCTTCTTTCCCTCCGTCTCCATGGTGACTCGCTTAATCTGTGCTCCGCTTATCAGGGCTTTATGTATCCTCGTCCGCGCGCTTCACTTGGGGTTAAAGCAACTCCGCGTTGACTGAACTAATTGTTATCAGCCTTTCTGAAACCGAATATTCCGAGTTGGACAGTTCGGGGTTACTCAACCCTGAGTATCGTTTTTCACTCTGAGTTTTCTAAACCGGCTTCCTGAAACTAGGGCCCTGAGCTGTTCAGGAGTTGGGCAGGGATAGGCAGGAGCATGACAGTGGCTGCCGAGGCAGACCAGTGACTGAACAGAGATTTGGTTATTGGAAGTTAGAAGCTGGAGATCCAATAAACTGGAAGAAAACAGCACTCAACCTGACCATGACAATTTGTATGTACAGAAAGATTTTTGAAAGACAAAAAGCTACAACTGAATAAATTGTGTATAAATGTATTGGATGTACACATTTGTAAAATAGCTGTACATGTAGTCATATTGCTTCAAATTTGTTTGTGGATTGGCGCATGCATTTGTTAGTACTCAAAAGTTACACTGTGGAGGTAAACACAGACGACACGAGAGCTCTCGATAAACACTGCTCGTTTATTACTCATCACCACAGAACTGAACACTTTCCCTCCAAAACACAGCAACAACACTTCCTGAGAACTGGGTGTGAGTGGAGCCCTCCAGTGGTCCACCACACATGCCCCCCCCGAACACCCAGTAGGGTCATCCCCTAGTCCAGAACCCTTGCTTTAATTAAACGTCCAGAACGGCTGAACCGGGGAGGTGGAGAGCTGGCGGAGGGGAAACGAGCCTGAGGGCCAGGCTGGCACGGGCGGTCAGGAAAAACTGAAGATAGCTCGGGCCCCGCCAGTGGGGGGCGCTCCCAGAGGAAGAAGCAGGGTTGTCCAGTCCAGTGGAAGGCGGGCGGCCACGGCGGGGGGCCTGAGCCGGCACCACCTGGTCATCCAGAAGCACATGTGCTGGTTTAAGTCTGTCAATAGAAACAGCCTCCTGCCGACCCCCAAAATCCAAAAGGAAATGCTTCCGGCCCGGTTGAATAACCCGAAAGGGGCCGTCATACAGTGGACGCAGCGGAGGCCTATGAGCGTCATGCCTGACAAAAACAAACTGCGAAGAGTCCAACGACCTCGGAACAAAGGTGTCAGGCACACAATGGTGCACTGGGCCAGGAAGAGAAAACGAGTCTCTTGGGGGACGGAAAGGCAGCCCACGCAAAACGGAGTCCATCAACCGCTGAAAAGTCTGGGCGGCGCCTTTCAGGCCGAACGGCATGCGCAAAAATTCAAACAGGCCGAAAGGGGTAATAACGGCAGTTTTGGGGACGTCTTCGGCGCGCACGGGAACCTGGTGATACCCCCGCACCAAGTCAATTTTAGAAAAAATCGAGGTGCCGGCGAGGTGGGCGGAAAAATCCTGGATGTGGGGAATGGGGTAACGGTCATTCTCCGTGACATTATTCAAACGGCGAAAATCCCCACACGGCCGCCACCGACCGTCTGACTTGGGCACCATGTGTAGCGGAGAAGCCCAGGCACTATTCGAGCGCTGCACTATGCCGAGGCGCTCCATTGCGGCAAACTCTTCCCGAGCGACGGAGAGTTTCGCGGGGTCGAGGCGGCGCGCGCGTGCGAACACCGGGGGACCGACCGTCGGAATATAATGTTCAACCCCGTGCTTCGTTGCCGTGTTCGAGAAATTAGGAACAGTCAGTGAAGGGAACTCCAAGAGCAAACGCTGAAAAACATTCCCTGAAGTCACTAAATTAGCCCGATTCAGGGGCTCGATGGCGCGAGTGAAACAGGGCATTGAAGAAAAAGACAGTGCATCGATTAAGCGTCTGTTAGCGACATCGACCAGCAGTCCGTGGGCACAAAGAAAATCAGCGCCCAAAATAGGTACAGAGCTAGCGGCAACAACAAAGGTCCATTGGAAATCCCGACCATGAAAACAAACAGTCACGAACCTTTCCCCGAACGTTGCGATGGGAGAGCCATTAGCCGCAATAAGCTGCGGTCCGCAGCCTGCTGCTAAACTGTCGGCTCCGGACGGGGGAAGGAGGCTCTTCTGGGAGCCAGAGTCGACCAGGAAACGTCTCCCAGAGCGCGAGTCTTCTATGAAGAGCAGTTTTTCTTTGTCGCCAGCGGTCGCGGCCGCTACAGCGCATTGGCGGGGTCCATGTCCCAGGGTCGGAAAAGCGCAAGGCGGCAGGCAGCGGCGCGCTCCGGCGCCAAAACGCTGATGGTAGAAACAGAGGTCCCGTCCGTGGTGTCGCTGTGCCGCGATCTTTGCCGTCAGCGAAGGATCGGGTACGTCGTGGCAGGTCAGCGGGGAAGTGGAAGGCGCCGCCGGCGAGGCTGGAACTAGCTCGTGATCGTGGAAAGTGCGGGTAGCCAGGAGAATACGATCTGCGTCCTCAGCCAGGGAGCGATAATCCTTCGTGCCCAGAAGCGGAGAGTTGGCGAGGCCGGCTCTCACGGCCGCCGGCAGCTGTCGGAGGAAGATGTGGGCGAAGAGGAATCCCCCGTCATCCGGTCCGAGAAGGGATAGCATGTGCTCCATCAGTTCGAGAGCCGTACCGCCACCCAGGCCTGAGAGGGAGAGGAGCTTCTCGGCTCGCTCTGCGTCAGTGAGGGCATTGCGCCGAAGAAGCAGCTCCTTAAGGGCGGCGTACTTCCCTCGGGTGGGTGGGTCCCGGAGGAGAGTCAATGCACGACGGGTGGCTAGCGGGTCGAGAGAAGCCACCACATGGTGATATTTCGTGTCGTCAGCCGAGATGCCACGAAGGGCGAACTGAGCCTCCACATGCACGAACCACGACGGGGGATCGTGAAGCCAAAAGTCCGGCAGCTCGAGCGCCACAGCAAACGTAGCTGCAGCCGGAGGCAGAGAGCTGGCGGCTGCTGATGCATCCAGAGCGGAGTCGGCGCCACCATCGGACTGCAGCATGTTCGAGTCAGGGGTCACCAATGTGGAGGTAAACACAGACGACACGAGAGCTCTCGATAAACACTGCTCGTTTATTACTCATCACCACAGAACTGAACACTTTCCCTCCAAAACACAGCAACAACACTTCCTGAGAACTGGGTGTGAGTGGAGCCCTCCAGTGGTCCACCACAACACACAAATTTACGGTACACGTTTGCAAAGATTATTTTAAGCTTATGGATCATATGGTATGCATTCATAGCCATTTTGGGTGTAAATATCTCTCCATAGTAATGTAGCATAGGGGACATGCAGGCTCAGCAAACACATGGATGTGGGGTACATGTAGCCGCTGCACAGTGGAGTCTGGGTGGGAAGCCAACTGTTGATCCCAGTGTTGGTATGAAATGTAGGATACATCTGGGCACCGCAGTGTGTGAGACCCAGGCAAGGATGCTGTGGGCAGATCAGTTTTGGTAGTAGACTATGGGCTCAAATTGTACAGGTCGAGCTGCTCCAAAAACCCACAGAGCCCAGCAGCCAGCGCAAGAAATTCTGGATCCTTTGCTTTTAGTTAGCAGTTAGCATTAGCAGCATATCCTGCGTCCGCACTGTGACTCACAGCAATGGTCCCGGGTCAGCCCTGACTTTGTGTTAAACTAATCCTAAAGTAATAATGGTATTTCTAACCACTGATATACCACAACTTTATCCTTTCAACAGCTGCTGAAAGTTAGGGGACCTAGCTGCTATCGGATATTTATATAGAGATCCTCCAGCTTCAAACTGTATCACCCTTCAAGGACCTGCAGTTCAAAAAAGCGCCCTCCGACAGCCAAACCCATCTGTTCTCTGATTGGATTGTTACATTTGTGATTGACATACATTGACCAATCAGATGAAAGAGAAGAAAAATAGGGTCAAAATTCGTATTGTAACTTGCAGTCCGGGTTTTTTTGGGCTAAGTCCACACACAAATCTTTTTTACACACACAAATCTTTTTACACACTACAAATCTTTTCTACACATACAAATCTTTTTTACACATACAAATCCTTTACAAGTACAAAACTGATTTACAAGTACAAAATATTTATGACCACAATTTGAGCCCATAGTAGACAACTCCAGAGGAGAAAATCACGTCCTGTTTAAGGAGCCAGTTCAGACTTATAATAATAATAATTCACAAACCAAAAGCTCAGTCTTGATGACCTGCTCTGACATTGGAAGGAAAGAAGGTGATGCGTGGGTTTGCTCACTGTGGAAACAGAGTTAGACTTTGTTTTTGGTTTCCCCCCCTTTTTCCTCCCTGTTGACATTCTGAGCTGGAGCTTCTGCTTCAACCTGTGGTGGAGTTCCTGGCAGCTCATTCCTTCCTGCACCTGTTCTTAATGAAGGAACCCATATTTGAGGGGCCGACTGGAGCCACAGTCCCCTGCCAGATAATCCTCTCTGCTATGTCAACAGTTAACCCTGTCTTGTTTTTGTTTAACCTTAGTATATTATTGCCATTTACCCAGATTTTCTGCTTTCCACACAGGAACTTGTCTGAATTTACTGTTGGAAATTGGTTTGCTTAAACCTCATGTCACCTGTGCACTGTGGATGCTGCTGGGACCATTCCCTTTAGCCTGCTAGCTGAAACCTGTAAAGAAGGAAATCACCAGCTAACCACCTCCCTGCCCACTCTCTCTCTCTCTCTCTCTGTTCCATCCCAGGATCCGTGGACCGACCACGGCTGGACCCGTAAACCTTGCAAATTCTCTCTCATTTTTTGACAAATAAATCAGGTTTATGGTCAAGTAGAGGTGGCGCGTTTGCAGTCTGCTCCAGTCCAGGGATTGCCTGTCTGTCTGTAGTGAGCTCTGTTTTCAGAGTGACGCGGTTTGTAAAGAATGTGGTTCAACAGTTTGTGGAAAAACTCTTGCTTGTGCCTTTAGTGAAACTCAATCAGACAAAAGTGGTGCAGTTTCTAGACGTGGTTTTCACATCTTTATTGATGCACCAGACAGATAATCTATTTACAAAACATTTAGTGGTAAACGTGGTAGGCATGCAGTGAGCTGTTCTGAAAAACAGGATCCATTGTGGTTGCAGTATCATTCGCATGGTTCAAATGTGCTGCATGCAGATGAAACAGAAAATGTCAGTGAAATGTGTTTCTCCCTTTTAATTCATTTTTCCTCATGGGTGAAAACATTAAAGAAATCATATGTTACATTCATATGTGAATCCAGGAACTTGCTGTTTATGTAATATTGTGAGGATTATTAATGTCTGATAACAAACAAAGTGTTTTATGAAGTTAATTTTATTTTCATGCAATACAATGTGATTTTTATGAGATATTCAGAATCTTTGATGCAGTTGTTAACATATATTATAAGCACATAAGCTGATAAAATCAGATATAGCAGTGTTAAGCTAGTGCTGTCTCAACAGTCTGATGAGGATTCCACCCCCATCAGACTGTTTTTCGTTAACTACACCCCCTCAGTCACTGTACACAAGCGCCCAGCCCCTGAACTCTTAAGAGGTTTTTTCAAAACTCAGGCTGTTTGATTTCGTGGCTCCTTAATGTCTTGGATATTTATGCTGAATAAATGAGATAAGAGTGAAACTTTAGAAGGAAGAAATGGTAAGACATGGATCATTTCTATACTGTAGCCAGTGGTTAAGTATCATTAGTTTTGTTCATTCTGTTACCATTAACACAATAATAAAATTTCAATGACATATGACATAAATATACATAAATAAATGTAAATGTGAATTCAGTTAATTATGATATTAATTATAATGTTAATTTATTTTCATCTCTTATATGACTACTCCTGATTTCTGTCCAAAGAAATAAAAAGTATATAAACAAGAGTTTTGTTGTAGATATCATCCACGTGAAAGTTAACACTAAAAGAAAAAGGGAAATATTTGTGCAGACAAGGGCAGACGATTATATATTATATTTAGTTTGATTAATATTTTCTTCAGTGCCACATGCCAACATAATGGAGCAGGGGTGTAGTTTCCAGGGGGGTTATGACCCCCCAATAATCAGACCCAACCAATATAAGCCCCCCAGTAAAATTATGAATTGTCTTGCATAAGTAGGCTGTTGATTTTCTTTACTCGTTTCAGGTATTACCAGCAAAACAGTTGCATGTTTAATCATCTGGCAATTTAAAAAGATTTATTTATTTATTTAGACAGAGATCTTGACCCCACCAATGTTCAGCACAAAGTTACGTGCCTTTTAGTGAAACTATATAAATTTGATACATCAAAGGCAAAAGAGAAAGTGTAGTCATTTTGTTGCGCTGTGAATATTTTTTTATATAAATGTAAGGGGAGTTAAAATGTCAGGATTTTTAGATGTTCGAACATTGTCTCAGATTTCAGTGTGCGAAAAAATGCTTTTCAAGTTGGTTGATGCACCATTTTTAAGAATATGTGTATTAAGTATTGATATATGAAGCAATCACTCTTGTGTCCAAATTTATTACTGCAAAAATTTTATGTAAATGCATTGGGTATGCCAGATATTGACTCTCCCTATACCAGATGCTGACTTTGCATCTTTAGTACTAAAATAAATAAAAATAATCTGCCACCTGACAGCTGTTGGAGGCAGGAGCATTAGAACTGCAATCTTTGCCCTTAGGTCCTTTGCTAGCAAACTGTCTACAACGCGAGCTTGTGTGTGTGTATGTCCGCAGATGTCATTGAGTAGCACAAGGCTCCAGCTGGTGGCTGTTACTCTGATCATCCTGATGGTTTTCTATGTCATATATTTCTCTAACGTTAATGAAAATCTGTTCAAGTTTTCCAGCGCAACAAAACTAAGGTAATAATTTGTATGTGTGTGTGTGTGTGTGTGTAAATCCCTCCTCTTGTATATTTGGCAGTGTTTGAAAGTGTTTTCATTAAATTGTCTTTAACACACACCACACGCACATGTAGAGTGCTTTGTATGACCACTTCGTTTGTGTGTTTTTGTTGCTGACCAGAGGTGAAACTGCATTTTATTTGAGGAAAGTTGGTATACTGCTATCCAGATGAAGCAACAGTCTTGTTACCCTTAATGCATCATTAAAATACTTTTTAGACTAGTCTCCCAAATTCCCATAAAATCTGAACTACTTGATTTAAATGACAATGTGATATAGAAGAGAATTTTGACCCTTTAGGAGTTCTGTATTTCCTTTGTTCTTCAGGTCAGTTTCTCCTAGGAACTTTTCATTGGCTCATCAATGTACCTGCCCTAAAGGCTCAGAACTTCTTAAAGATTATATAGCCAAGGATCAATACGAAGAGCTTGTTAAATGGCGAGCTAAGGACCTCCAACAGTACAAAACCAGGTAGAGGGTGGATGAATGAATGTTGTGTACTTTAACAGTAATGCAATGGCATTTGTAACTGAACATAATCAATTGGTATCTTTGTAAACTGTAATTAATGTAGACACATTTGGCATTAAATATTACGCTTTGGGAGTGAGAATGTGTTGCACTTCAACAGCAGAGTTGCTTCGCTTGGTGCAGTCGTGCAGTCTGTCAGCGTTAATGCTGACAGCACTAGTAAAAAGGTGATACCTGTTTCTATATCTACCCACATTTCATCTCTTCATCAGGATGGTGTCTGAACTATCCAGACTGCTGTTTGCTTCGCCTAACTCTCCTCTGCAGTATCCTATTCAAGGTTATATAGTACAGCCTTTGACCTCTACTCTCATACCAGGTATGCCAAGCCTAATATATGCAACAGACAAGTTTACCAGTGGTCTGTATTGTTGTGTATGTGCTGTATATTCTGTTGTGGAAGTTTTCCATTTAAATAAAGCCTGCAGACGAGCAGTGAGCGATAGCTAACATTCTTTAATCAAAACACACAAAGAACAGACAACCAAGCTTGTGGAGAGCCTACATGACCGCGGGACAGGCGGTCAGCAGAGTCTCCCTGAGCCTAGCATGGCTCTCAGTTAAATACCTTCTCCAGGAACAAAAGACAGTACACAGCTGTTTCACACCTTAAGGTTCACACTCCCTTGCTACCTCCCAGAGTCCTTGAAGAGACAAAAGACTCTTCCTGTGGAGCTGTCTGCTTCCCCCAACTTCCTTACTAGATCCCCACCATCTGTCTTACAGTATGGGTGTGGAACATGTTTAAATCTAGTGGCACCAAGGCATCATACAATAAAATAATGTGATTAATACATAAGTAAAAGAAATTCCTATATCCCTTTCTACTTTATTAGAAAAATGGTTAATAAATGTTGATCTGAGACTAAATTTGGTGGTATTTCTCAGATTATTAAGTAAACTTTAATACCTCTGAATTAGAGTCATTAGTGAGTCAAATTAACATGCAATTTCAGGAATTTTCCACGTTTAAAACATAATTAAAAGATAATTAACCAAGAGTGATAATGACCAGCAAACTTATACCTCAGCAAATGAGATGGCAAAATTAAATCTGTATTACAGCCAACATATTCACAGACAAGACAGTTGCATGGGGGTTTTAAGGAATTCATGTTGATCATTTATGCTTCAAAAACGTGTCATGGAGTCTTCCCATAAAAGGACAATGTAAAAGTAATGTCATTTTAATTTCAGGTTTAGGGCTGCATGCAGAAAACAGAAGCAGCTACAAGGTTGGTGTTTCTCCCTCACAGCTAATATGAACTGTACAGGTTGGCAGGTTCATACAAGATGCCTCCTGAACATATACATTTCAAACATTAAGGGCCCTGATTCCCTGATTTTGTGATCTATGTGTGGGGCTGACTTTAATTCAGCTTTAGGATAAATGAAAGAAAAAACACAAACCTCACTTATGGTCTGATGTACAGTATAAAATAGCATCTTTCTTTCCATCTTCAATAGGTATTCCAATGTTACACTGACATAGCATAATTTTATACACAGTTTATTTTTTTTTTGTAGACGACTGTATAGGATATTCTGAGTGCTTTTTAAATTTATTCAGGCCTTTCTTTTGTAGGTATCTTTAAGTGTGTCTAAAGGCATCCTGACCACAAATATTACACCTGAACAGACAATCATCAAAGGTGAGATTTAGTAAATAAGTGACTATACTGTAGGGGGCATTTTTGTTGAATTGGTTTTTGGACCACACGCCAGATTAGCAGCAAGGGTCAGAACTTTTCAGCCATGTGGAGAAGAAAAACAATCTCCTACAAATATGAAATATAAAACATTTACAGCAGTCTTGTCATGGGCTGGGTCTGGGACCCAGCATTTTCTCTTCATTTTGCATTATTGATATGTACTCTAGAAGACATGCTAAGTTCTTGTTGTTTCTATCATTAGTTAGGATTGAGTTGTTTTGTATTTTGAAATTCTTTAGTCCTTGTTTATCTAGATCCTGTTGTGTCGTCATCCCTTATGTTCCAGTCTCCCTTGTTATCAAGTCAGTATTGTCTGCCTCCTGTCTTATTTTGAAAGAGCCTGGTTTTCTTTGTCCATTGTATTTAGTTTCACTTCCCCTGTCCCATTATTAGGTTCATGTGTGTCAGCTGTTTCCCTATGTGATTCCTGATCCCCCCCCCCCCTGTGTGTTTTTAGTCTGTGTTTTTCATTGTCTTGTCTTTGTCAGAACGTCTGTGACACCACGTCTAGTCATAGCACTCATAGTAGTCACAGTCATCATAGAAATCATAGTCATCGTGATTAGTCACAGTTATCTTGTTCCGTTTTCCCAGTTTAGTTTAGTAGCAGTTTAATTTGTCGCCCAGTTTGCCTCGCATTATTTTGTATTCATGTTTATCAGCTAAAATAAAACGTCTCACTTTTGGTTTAACTCTCTGCTCTATCTCCTTTTGTGTCTGAACCTGGGTCCTCGTTCTCACTCTTGCACAATCAGCAGGTGTGGATCTAGAGAAATTTTCTTAGGGTGGCAGAGAAATCAAATGGGGTGGCAAAATCAAAGCCTTTTTTTTTCAATCACATATGCAGATGGTTACAATGTTGTAATGATTCAAATGCATTAAGTATACACGCTTTTCATATAAATGTAATCTATAACTTAATTCTTTTCTGTAGCCCACATGATTAAACACGTTAGTTTGACATAAAATTCACATAAAACATGGGAATTTTGTTTTTATGTACTGTAGGTATATAAATATATATATATATATCAGGGGTGCAACGATACACAAAATTCACGGTTCGGTTCGATACTTTGGTGTCACGGTTCGATGTTTTTTTGATACAAAAAAAATGTTCATGCCTTTTTAATTAGTCATTAATTAAAATTATAAATATATATTTTAACTCAAAAGTACAATTTTTAAATTTAACCCTAACCCTTGTGCGTGTTTTTTATTTTGACAGCGAATGCGCACCTGCGGACCACTTATGTGCAGCCCTGGTTATTTAGCTCGTCATATTGCAGCCACAGAAATTCTTTTGTCCATGAAACCATAAAGCTGCACTTTCTTTTTGCCTTATAGTCTGATTTGTCATAACTTTCCGTTTTGTGGTAAGCTTTTCTTTGGCTGTCACTTCTTCACCCTGACCTGTCTTATTTGGCTCAGCAGAACTAAAATATATATCCTGCTGCTTTTACACACGCACTCACATAAGCTCAGCGATTCTCTGCGCGATCAACCTCTCACATGTTTAAGCTGCGGGAGATTTCACTTGTCATGTTTGCGTAGTAAGCTAACGATTAATAAGACGATGTCAGAGGAATTGGTGCACAAATTATCATCACTCACAGATCAGTGCTGTCGCTCTCTATACACAGTTCGCACGATTGCAAAGTGAAAGCAAAAAACAAGCGCAAATTCAAACGCGACTTCAATATGTCACATATTGACAGTGGCTCACCGATGCCAATGACATAATTACCCAGCTACATTTCTGAAAGAATGCAAAAGCATTGACATATATTTTTCCTACAATAGCCCGACGGGCAGGGCAGAGATAGATTTTGGTAGCCCGACTGGAAAAAATCGCTAGCCCCGGGACGTCGGGCTAGCGATATTGCGAGCCCTGTATCTGATTGAGGAATCACTCATCTTTGGAAAAGAGAGTTTATTACAGAGAAATGGCTCTTTCCAAAATAAAAGCTATACTATCCGCTTCTTCTGGGCTATATTCTCAGCAGCATATTAAACATATCAGGTCCCCATAAGGAGAATCATGTGCTAACGGCTGTCTAAATGACTCGGGTAAAGTTTGTAGCATGCATGCTTGTTGTTTTTGTCTTTGCACTAGGATGATGTCGGCGTAAATGTGCAGTCATATTCGTTGTGTTCCCACTAGTGCTTTCAGGTTAACCTCGTTAAAATGACCTTAACGCCACAACACGGCAAATCTCCGTTAACGAGCTACCCCTGATCGCCCCGTGCATGGGGCTAGACGGCCAACACGTTAACGAGCTAACTGCGCTAACACACTAGCTCCCACCCATGTAATTGAGCATTGCGTGGCACATCCAACATACTGTTTTACTTTAGTCCATGACGCGCTTACCTTCAGGGTCATACGTCACATGAAAACCAAAATAATTCCAAACGCCAGATCTGAATGAGGGTGGGGGAGGTTCAATTTGCCATGTTGCAAGGAGAGCTTAACTTCTGTCTTGCTAGCTTGCCCTGCGCTCTTCCTTCTGACTATGCTGTCTGTGTTGAGCGCTCAGTGGATCTGCGCTCGACAGTGCAGCCTAGGCGGAGTAGTCGAACGCAGATTCACTGAGCGCTCCACACAGACAGCATCGTCAGAAGGAAAGTTGATAAAATAAATTACAAATGTTGTATTGTTCGATACATATGCGTACCGAACCGAAAGCACTGTATCGAACGGTTCAATATCGATACGAATATCGTTGCACCCCTAATATATATATGTATATATATATAATAAATATTTAGCCCAATACGTATAAAATCCAGAAAGCTGCACAACATGGGGCGGTTCATTCACAAACACATGTCTATCTTAAGTTTCACTGGTTTTTTGTTAGAAAAAAATCAAATTTTTGCATGCTTAATTTACACAAAATGTCAGAAATCTGCACCGTCATGAACAAAAATTTAAATGATTTAACCCTCTGAGGTCCAAAATATGACTGTTTATTTTCCTTTTGATTTTACATTTGTATTTCACCTTTAAATTGTTTAATTTTTTTTCCTGTCTTGCTTGGTATCATTCTATACAGCTCAACCTCACATGTATTAATTTTGTTGTTTTTTTCATTGACATACTGTATTATCACAACTGATCTGAAATCACACAAAAAACACAAAATCCTTTTCACACATTTTGTAAACATTTTCAACTATTTATCTAAAAATACACCTGGAATTTTTTACAATTTTGAACAACGATTTAAAAATATTACTCTAACTAAAAAGAGAGAACAATCGAGTGTCAAAATAAGATGCCCCACAAATTATTATGTGTTTGTCGGACACAAGACAGAGGAGAACCCCACAGGGATAAACCCTGCAGGCCTGACAACAGGACTTGTGTCACTCCTCTGGTTTTCTACCTGGTCACAGTGCTTACATTGGAATCTGCCTTTATGACAGTCATTAGTACCCTCACTGACACACAAATTAAAACAACGACTACACAACACACTAACTACACACTCAAAGCTAAACGTCACAAATCTCCCACATCTAAAAACTCGATATCAATATCTCTCTCTCTCTGTCACTCGCTCTGTCTCGCTGCTGTCTTTTCCAAAACTTTCCCCTCTTCCTACCTGTCCTTAGAAAATGCTTTAGAAGAAAACAAAACAAAAATACAAAACAAAACATGACAATAGTATTTAGAAAAAAGCATGGCTTATATTATATTTTTTCTATCATAACTCTGAATTTACTGGCCTGTAATTAAAATTTAAAAAACGGTGTATACTTTGAAGTCCGAACTTTCAACACGGGCTGAAAGACTCAGCGTGGCTGCAGCTTGTTGCTATGTCAGCTTAAATCAGACATGTGATTTGGAGGTGCAGCGTGCCTGTGGACCACAGAGGGTTAATAACACTCATCTTCATTGTGTAACAACCAACCACCTGTGTGAAATCTGAAATTCCCATGGTGTTCTTCGAAATGTGCTATGGGCTGAACTTCTTGTTAATGGTGGAGGGGGGTAACACTATGCAGTATATTCATTTGTAGAATTTATATTCACTGCTAACTGTAACTGTGCTCAAAGTGTTAATGGTATCTTATTTTAAAACACAACACTGTCGTATGCAAAAGTAGGGTGGTACTTGGGGTGGCAAGAGATCATATTAGGGTGGCACATGCCAACCTTCTAGATCTGCCCCTGACAGTCAGCTCCCACTGACCGTGACTTGAGAACTTAATGATTTTAACAATCATCAGATGTTTCTTGTGTTATGAAACAAGCAATAACCTTGGTAATGCGACACCTTTTTATAGGCCATCAGTTGGTACTGAGGATTGGCAGGGTTGCTTTCTAATTACTAATAGATTTCAGCTGGTGTCATTACTTTCCATGCCTTCTTGCACCTCCCTTTCTTCTTGTGTTTAATACTGTTTCCCTGTATTAAACTCATTATTACACATCTTGATTTACCTTCCTGTTGTATTTGGGTCAAACCTGACCCATTTACAAATTAAAACACTCATTTGATTACCTCAAGGCCTTATGACATCCTCCACACTATGCATTTGAACATATAAAAGTAATGAGTACCTCTTTCATTTCAGTGTTATGTTAATTTAAGAGCTGTTAAAACAGACCAGTCAATTGTTACCGGGAACACTAAAGTAAGGGGGGTGGGGATGCACACAACAGGAGGGTTTATGGACAGTTCTAGTTTCTTTGCATATTTTGATTGGATATGTTACATCTGGTACATTTGTGTTATTTTTCATAATTATGTTGTATGAGAAAGCAACATACAACACTAGCAATTTGTTTATTTTTCTCAGTGTTGTTGTGAACTCATTGACTGCTTTTCAACTTTTTTTTTTCTTGAAAATGTGTCCCACCTTTAGTTGTTATTTAAAAAATATAAGAAAGTGTGATTTCAGCTAGGCAAAAAGGCAGAATAAACAGACCTTGTTTGAATTCATTTTTATATAATCTATATAGCTTGTAGAGTGTACACTTTGTCATTTTTATTGACTTTAAAACTTAAACTATTAATCAAGTAATTTTAATGCTGTTGTGAAATTTTGTGGTTTGAATTAACAGGATCTGGTAAGAACAAACTGATTATCGAGTCTCGCAGTCTGGTGACCCTCAACAACTTGCTAGCCAAAGTGTCCTATACCAGCACTGACTACCACATAAACACTGGAGACCTTGGTATGTGTTTAAACAATGTTAAATGAGCTAGAAATTTGAAATTCTATATGAAAATAAAGTTTTGCATGAAATTTGATTGTTTCTGAATTGCGTATGTCATGTCCAAGCAAAATAAGTGAAAGCAAAAGTGAAATTAGACAAAGTGTTTTCCAGTTATGCAGTTTGTGTGCTGTTCTAAGGTTTATTGGAAAATCAGTGACTATGTTTTGTTATGTTTTTGTTTTTTCTCTTTATACAAGAGTGTCCTTTGCACTGTATTTAATCTGAGCTTTTTGTTTTCTGATTTTAGCCACTTTCCAGTTTGAAATGCATGAAGCTGTGTTTCCAATTGCCATCAAACAGCCTCGTGTACCAGTCCTGTATGAGATGGGAACAGGTAGTTTGTTCTTCCTAGGAATTAAAAATCTCTGTGATGGTACCATGTATTGATTCCTGAAATTATGGCCAACTTAGACTGCCTTCCTCCAATGAATGAAATGTTTCTAACTTAATTCTGTTTTCAAGGTTCTTCACTAGAGGTGTACAGTTCTTTCAAAAAGTAGTTGCACCCTTCCTGATTTCTTATTGAATATTGTTTTGCATATTTCTCACACTTAAATGTTGCGGATCATCAGATAAATGTTAACATTATTTACAAATAATCTGGGTAAATACAAAAGGCAATTTTTAAATGTTGAATTCTTTCATTATTGAAAAAAGTGATCCAATCCCTTTTGGTGTTATTTGAAAAAGTAACTGCTCCTCATTGTTAAATTATGAATTGACTGTGATTGACCACATTTTTAATTTCGGAAACAACTCCTAGGCCTGATTACTACCACACCTGCTGAATATAGGAATAACTTAAGTAGAACATGGCTGTGTCCCAATTCAGGGGCTGCATCCTCCTGAGGCCGCATTTTAAGGCTGATTACATCACAGCGACGGCTGCTCCATATGCAGCCAACAAATGCATCCTTCATTTCCCCAAATTGGAAGGATGGGTCGGGTGTATCCTTTGTGGCCCAACCTATCCCAGAATTCATAGTGCAGCCCAGCCAATTCCAGTTTCCAACAATGGCGGCAGCTACTTAGTTGAGGAGCGTGGCTGAAGAGTTTAAAATATTACTCTTTTTGGGTCACAAAATAAAATTAACAAACTTTCAGGCGAGAATGTAGCTGTGTCAAGTTCAAATATCTGCTCGATTTATCAAGACATCACATATTTGCAAAAAGTGCTCCGATGTTTTCGGAGACGTCTGTTATTGCCCAGCTCGATAGCTGACTGGGTGGTCAAGGCTAACTTGAGCCGGCGAGTACAGTGAACTCCCGACACATCAATTTCAGACCCTCGCGCAGTCTTTCACTACTCAGGTTAAACATGATATATAAGTCACTTGTTGATTAAAAATGTTATTGTTTGGTGTTTTTCAGTGTTTTATTTGTTCCTCAGTAAATCAGTTTAGCTGAGATTACAGTTTTTTCACACAGCTGAATAAACGTCAAACAGAAAACTGATTAAACAGAAGTGTGAGATGGTTGAGAATTTACTCCAATATTCTGTTATATTTTAGATAGCAAGGAGCAGATGGCTGAGTTTATTAAACTCCACCGACACAGTGACACAAATGCTAACAATTCCATGTCACAGAATCGCACTTCTGGCCTTCTCGGACCTGGCCCACATAGACTGCAAAGGCGGGGTCCTCCAAAGGATGCAGCCACTGCATTGGGATATAGCCCATAGCCCAGGTCTACCCCCCCCTTAAGAAGTGAAATCAGCATTTAAAAACTCAATTTTATATCTGAAACCTTTCATTGTAGTGAATGGGGACAAATACTTTTCCATGGCACAAAAGGTGAGAGAAGGATGCACATAGAGAAAAGTGTCCTACGATAACTCAATCTATGCTGTAGCAGATCACCCTACTTTTTCTTGAAATAAGTCTTTGTTTGCTTCTGTCTCTCAGATATCAGCTCTCAAGTCACCATCACAACAAAAACTTTCCAGCGCTATAAACACTTAAGAGTGTTGCTTGACAGCATCCGGCAATTCTATAGCAACGTAAAAATTATTATTGCCGATGACAGCTTTGAAACGGAGCACATTACTGGAGAAAACATTCAACATTACATTATGCCTCCAGCACAGGTATATACCTACATTCTTATGGACTAAACTGACTATACAAAATTTAGAACATATGTCACTTTACTTTAATTCTTGAAATTTTCTATAAAATCTGATAGGAAAATAATTCAGATTTCAGATGCATTTAAAATGTTATTAGCTAAATTTCTGTTACTTAGTTGTATCAAGCATGTTAAATTGCTGCTAATCTAACTAACTATATAAAGAATAAATGGACTGCAGTCACATGTGGTCACCACCACAATTTAAGGATAAATCTGAAATCAGAATTAAAACTCTTATTATTTGCATTAAGATGTGAAAGATGTTTCCTTTCTCAGGGCTGGTTTGCAGGCAGAAATCTGGCTGTTTCCCAGGTAACCACCAAGTACTTCCTGTGGGTGGATGATGACTTTATGTTTACAGAGAAGACGAAGATAGAGAACCTTGTAGAGGTGATGGAAGCGATGCCAGAACTTGACGTGGTGAGAATGAAATGGCTCCTGTTTGAGTTCATTTACTTCTATTTGCTTTATGGGATACAGGTTGCAACCAAACATCAAATATACATAGCTATTTCTGTAATTAGGTAAAAAAAAACTTTAACTTTAACTTTGTAACTTAGTTTCTTTTTACCCTTTTAATACACTGATTGGCGTTCTTATAGACTTTACTCTTTCCTTGACGATGATTTATCTGATCTAGTTACAACATTACCAAATTAATGTAGTTTTTTTCCAAAAATTTTGATACATTTTTTCATTTAATTAAATCAGTTTTAATAATAGTTAACAGCTGTCATGTTACGGCTGTGTGCAGGCAGGGATTGGAGCTAAACGTAAACTCACTGACACATAGAATAAACTCAAAGCCAACTAAACTGGGAAACTAATAGAACTAATGCACACGAGGAGACACTGGGGAGCACACAGTATGAGGGACAATGTGACATGTAACTGAGAGAGACTCGGACATAAATACCTAGAAGGTAATGAGGAAAGTGGAAGCACACGGGGAACACTGCTGAGGATAATTACATGTGACAGGACAGGAAAGACATGAAAACTGACAATGCTGACACCAGACACAAACCTGATTCGAGCGATCGTGGCTCAAGAGTTGGGAGTTCGCCTTGTAATCGGAAGGTTGCCGGTTCGAGCCCCGGCTGGGACAGTCTCGGTTGGCCAGAAGGGCCAATGGCAGCTGTGGCTACAACTGTAGCTTGCCTCCACCAGTGTGTGAATGGGTGGATGACTGGGTGTGTAAAGCGCTTTGGGGGAGGCAAAGTGGGGGACTAGTAAAGGCGCTATACAAATACAGGCTGTCATATACTGGGTTGCCTGTGTCGAACGGGTGGGCGTTGCGGCTTTACACCACTAGGACATGCTTTGCAGCAGGGCTGTCTATGTCCAGCTCTTCTCTTCTTCTTCTGCCACACCCGTTGTTGTGCTGTTATAACCCATGCTGGATACACGTTCAATAAAGCAGCAACACAAGAAAGCTACCGAGTGGTCATTCTACATGGTGTCAGAAGTGGCCCGGACCATCGCCAGAATAACGCCATAAGGGAGAAAACAAACAGAAGTTCAATCCCCCGACAAGCTTCCCCTTCGATAAGCCGATGGAATGGCTCGACTGGAAACAGCGTTTCGAGCGCTACAGGATCGCAACGAAACTCCACAAAGACGAAGGACAAGTACGGGTGAGCTACCTAATCTATGCGATTGGGAAATGAAGCAGAGAACACTTACAAGTCACTCACCTTCGCCGCCAATGAAAGTCGTGACGACTTCGCCGTCGTAATGAGGAAGTTCGACAAGTATTTTTCCCCGCAGCGGAACATTATACATGAAAGAGCATGTTTTCACCAGCGTGTCCAGCGGCCAGGCGAAACGG